GTATGAACTTCTTTAGCCAGTTCACCTGCCACGTTGCCTCATGACACGGTACAAACTCGGCATATATTGTGGACGATGTAGTGACGGTTTGCTTTGATCTTTTCCATAAAATAGCTCCCTCTGTGAGAGTGAATACAAATCCAGACGTGGACTTTCTATCATCCCCCGCATAGTCAGAATCAGAATATCCCACTATATGGAATGAATCTGATCTTCTATACGTCATCATGAGGTTTTTCGTTCCTTGCAAATAACGCAAGACTTTCTTTACCAATTTACAGTGTTCTGTTCCAGGATTGCTCTAGAATCTACCAAGTAACCCGGTAACAAATGCCAAGTCAGGGCGCGTACATACTTGAGCATATTGCAAGCTTCCGACAGCTAAAGCATATGGAACCGTTTTCATTTGATCGATCTCATACTGGTTCCTGGGGCATTGAAAATCCCCATATATGTCACCCTTGACTATAGGAGCAAGTGAGGGACTACATTTGTGCATACTAAATTTCTTTAAGATCTTTTCTATGTATGCCTTTTGTGACAGTCCTAATACCCCTTTACTTCTATTTTGGTGAATCTCGATCCCTACAATGAACGAAGCTTCACCAAGATCTTTCATATCAAATTTTGAGGACAAAAACTTCTTTGTCTCTAGTAGTAGACTGACATCACTACTAGCAAGTAAGATATCATCCACATACAGGACAGGGAAGATAAACTTCCCATTCTTAAACTTTGCATAGACACAATTGTCCTCAACATTTTCTTTAAACCCAAAATTCCTTATTGACTGATCAAACTTCAAGTACCACTGTCTTGAAACTTGTTTTAATCCATAAATGGATTTCTTTAGGTGGCATCCCATTCGTTCTTTTCCTTTCATGACAAAACCTTTCGGTTGTGCCATGTAAACATTTTCCTCCAAGTCTGCATTGAGAAATGTCGTCTTTACATCCTTCTGATGTAATTCTAAATCATAATGTGTCACTAATGCCATTATGACTCTGAAGGAATCCTTACATGAGACTGGAGAAAAGATCTCATTGTAATCAATCTCTTCTCTTTGCGTAAAGCCTTTTGCCACAAGTCGCGCTTTATATCTCTCTATATTCCCTTGAGAGTCAAGTTTTGTTTTGTAGACCCATTTACAGCTTACTGTTTTGGCTTCTTTAGGAATTATTTCCAAGTCCCAAACTTTATTAGCATTCATTGATTTCATTTCATCTTCCATGGCCTCAAGCCACTTTGATGAATGATCACTTCTCATGACTTCTTCAAATGAGGTGGGATCATCCTCCATTTGAAATTTCTCAGTGTTATATACTTCATAGTCAGCAGAAATAGCTGATTTTCTAACTCTTTGAGACCATCCAGGGGCCTCCACATTTGGCATATCTTCTGTTTGAGGCTGTTGTTGCTCCCCCTCATGTGTAGCAATAGGTTCTACTGGATCCTGAAGAACAGGTTCCTCATCGTCATTCATTTTTGTCACAGGCAGAAAAACAAGAGGTGCTGGCACCATAGTATCTTGCACTATCGGTGCAGCGACAGCAGGTAGTGAGAAAAATGGCTCATGTATCATCGGAGTGGGCGCATACACCCGCTTCTCTTCAAGGTCAATTTCTTGAGCTACCATGCTCCCCCTCATCATTTCGTTCTCTAGGAAGACAGCATGTCTCGTTTCCACAAACTTTGTATGTCTCTCTAGACGGTACAAACAAAAACAATTTTGACTTTTCTGGGTAGCCAATGAAATGGCAACTTACTGTTTTAGAATCTAGCTTCCCAATGTTTGGGTTATCTTCTTTAGCCTCAGCAGGGCTCCCCCACACACGTAAGTGTTTAGTGAGGGTACTCTTTCTGTCCACAACTCATACGACGTTTTGGGCACCGACTTATTTGGTACTCTATTGAGAATATAAATGGTGGTTTTTAACGTCTCCATCCATAGGCTCATCTGTAAGGTGGAGTAACTTATCATACTGCGCACCATATCTATCAGGGTATGATTGCGTCTTTTAGCTACTCCATTCTGCTGAGGTTCATCCAGTGTAGAATACTGGGCTACTATGCCATTCTTCTGGGGTATGCCGACCGTAGTACTCCCCCACGGTCAGACCTGACTATCTTAATCTTTAATATCTTAAATTTATCCAATGCTTCTGTTCTTTCTTTGATTGGATAAATGTAGCCATAATGGGAGTAATCATCTGTGAATGTTATGAACGAATCATAACCATCCACACTCTTTACAGTAGACTGGCCACAGATGTCTGTGTGAATAATCTATAAAATTCATGCGCTTCGTTTGGCATCTTTATTAATTTTCTTTACATACTTTTCTTTAATGCATTCTCTACATTGTTCTAAATCTGAGAGCTCTAATGGAGGAAAAATATATTATTCTTAACTAGTCTTTCTATTCTCCCCCTCGAAATATGGCCTAAACGATAGTGCCATAATTTCGACGATGCATCGTGAGCTCTCTTATACCATCATTTCTAGAGTAACTCTTTGTCACCAGCTGCTTTATCAGCTAGGTAGCATATGTCTTTGAAGAGCCAGTGAACTGACTCTTTATTCTATCGAGGTACTCGGTGACCGTGTCACACTCTGGGATTGAGCCCACAATTACAGGCTCAATCGTGTTCTTTATCACAACTAAACATTTCTTGTTGGTAGTGACTCACTTCCTATGCACAAGAGCATAGGACATCTTTCGATCCCTCTCTTCAGTTGCTCAAGCGGCATCAGCCTCGTTTGTCTCCCTCACCAGTGCCACAGAATCAGTGGGACACGGTGAGGTGACTACCCAGTCCATCTCAGCCAAGATGAAGGCTAGGTCAATCTTTTTCATAACATAAAAATAACAATAATTGCATGTCTTGATTCCAACGTTGGTCAAAATTAAGACATACAACTGTTCTTATATGGTAATTCTACATCACCGTTGGGCAGAAATAGAATTAATGCATAAATCATTAAAATTTACATCTATTCTTATACACTAATTCTATATCACCGTTGGGCATAAATAGAATTAATGCATAAATCATTAAAAATCACGATATTGTTTTTAACAACGTTGGTCAAAAAATAACAACATCATAATCAAGTTAAAATATCTTTTTCTCCAATTAAATATCACGTTGGTTCAAAATAACTGGAGAATAAACAATTTCTTTAGCATAACTGAAGAATAAATAATTTCTTTAGCAGCGGAAAAACTCTCTTTTTCTCCAATTAAATATCACGTTGGTTCAAAATAACTAGAGAATAAACAATTTCTTTTACAGCAGAAAATAATTCAATTTAATGAATTTTGCCAACAGGACAAATCTCTTTTCTATTTTCTTTAAGCCATTTATTCATTTTCTAGGAAATAAATATTTGCTGAAAAAAGAAAAAAGAAAAAACTGATTCATTTCGTACTGTTCATTCGGCCCAGCGACCAAAACTGCTTGGCCCCGCTTCCTTTGCGCGACACCCGACCGCACCTAGGCCGCAACCTGGTCCTGGGCCGGCAAAGCCGCTCGGCTGCGTGCGCCCGCCTAGGCCGCATCGCTGGCCCGTTCAATCTCGGCCGCTCGTCCGCATCGGACGGCTGCGCGCGGCGACCTCCCCCGAAACCCTAATGGCCATTCGGCCTCTTTGCTCTCTCTCTCTCTTTGCCGCTCTCTCTTCTCTCCTCACCATAGCGAGGCGAGCGGGCAGCCATGGCGCTGTCGTCGTTGCCCCTCGCTGACGCCGACGTCACGCGCCCCAGCAGGGTGAGCTGCGCATTGCCGAGCGGCCCGGCAGGCCGTGCCGCCCTTGGCCGAGCCCGACGAGCAAATGACCCCTGCTCGGCCTCTTCTCCTCACACCGGCGAGAGGCAATAGCGCTACTGGCAAATGACGAGGTAGGCCACCCCTTCCCCTTCTTCCCCTTCTTCTCTTTTGGAATTAACCCAATTTGGGGATGGGGTCAAAAATTAGGGTTAGGGTTTTGGGATTTGCACTGTTCTTCTTTCCCAGAGGGACTCTATGGATTTTAGGGTTTGGCTTTGATTCCCTTCTAGGCCGAATCCCTCTTCTTTTGTTCTCTCCTTCACCCGGTTAGGGTTTGGGTTACATTAGGGTTCGGTTGAACCCGATTCGGTTTTTTCTTTCGATTTTGATTCAAGATCTTCGAGATAAGCCCCTTCCCCTCTTCGCTTTCTTCTCTTTTGGATCTGCTTTCTTGATTTTCTTCTCGGATTCAACCAATTGGGGATTAGGGTTAGGATAACCCTCTTTCTTCTCAGATCCGAACGGGATCATTTCTTTTCTTGCCGTGGGCCGGCAAAGACGGCGGTGCTGCATCTTTCCCCGCTCGGTGGCGGTGGTGACCGGGAGTTGGGTGACATCCGCCACCCCCCGGCCCCTTTTCTGTTTTCTTTTACTCGGTTAGGGTTGGGGTTTCAATCTGAAACGGATTGAACCCTTGTTCTTTTGATTTCTTTCAATGCTCTACCCCATACTTTGACCTTTGCTCTGATACCATTGTTATAGAAACAACAGTGGCTCTAAACCGTAGATCATAGGTAGGCTTCTTACTTAGATGGGAAACAGTTGATGTACCTTGGTCTAAGTCACCATTCGGTCCATGGACGCCGGTGGCGTGACAGCTCCACCGTAGTGGTGAGAAGGCGAGGTCCAATGGCCTAGTGGTGACACTGCAGGGCGATGCAGAGGTGACGACGGAGTCGATGGGGCATCCCGTCGCTGGCAGCACTCTTCTTTCGATCGGATTAGGTTTCTCTCTGTGGGTGGTTACAGCGGCTCCGGTCAACCTCGTAGTTAGAGCCGTGATCCCCATCTCTCTTTTATATGTGCTGTACGACAGGGGCCCACCAACCATATTAGGGTTGGGCGGCCCCGATCAGGACGCAGAGACAAGGACCCATGGGCCTATTGGTGGAGATCAACTAACAAACTGGTCTATAACATAAACATTTTCCATTTCGTTCTTAAGCTGTTCTACTCTACAAGTAGCCCCTTGAATCCATTAATTGTAGCATCTGCAAGAGACAAGTGGGTTCCCATCAGAGAAACTTAACTGGTATAATGGACGTTTGGACATGGTGTATAGCTTCTTACCAACTAATATCACTTCAACGCCCAAGTATCTCAACAGTATCTGCTTATCTATTGCAATTTTTGCTGGCATGACAGCAAGGAATCTGTAGCCTTTCTGAGCCGCAACAAATGCCAGACCAATACCAAGATTACCACTCGTGAGTGCCACTAGTGTTGTTATGCCAGGTGAGATCAGGCTTTTCTCCTCCGCATCTTCAATCAATCTGCAAATTGAGAATTACGAAATTGGTAGGAAAACAATTTAACGGTTTTAGTTGTATCACAAACAGTTGTATGATATTTCAAAGAAAAAAAAATCTACATTAAAGAAGGAACCAAGCCTCATGTGTGCCAGTTAAGTGAGTCATGTGCCATTACCGGTCATTTCATATATGATCAGCATTTCTTATGCTAATTGAACTATATTTAAATTAACAGCCCTTGCTCACAATGAAGAATTGAAGACCATATGTCATATCAATGAGACAAATGCTAGCTAGAACCTTTTGATCACAGTTCACAAGAGTGCTATAACATACTAGCACTTCTATGCTAAGATAGCTTCACCATTTCGTATCTGAATTACTGTGTGAAGTGAACAATATGTTATGTCACCTCAAGAAGTAGAGCAATCATCTGAGAGCACTTCGATCCAACATAATAAATAGCGGCGGGCGGCCCGCTATGAGGTAGCGCTCTGAACTTTGCAGCCTCGAACTTTGCGGCTGCAATTCTGAATAGCGGGGCGATATTGCGGTCGCAATTGCATGCAGTAGGCTGCAATAACGTGGAAACAAATAACCCTAATCAGCCCAGCCCACTACGACTCACACCCCCAACTCAAACACACTCACGCATCAGCTGTAGCCTCTAGGTCCAGATTTAGGCGTTCTTTGAGTGTAATTAAATGTCTATTTATACTCATTATTCATGATATATGTACTTAAACTTATGTGGGATTATCATATGCCACTATTGGAACTTATCGTCCGCAATATCGCCCGCTATCCGCAATCCGCTACCTCAACGTCAATCCGCTACCGACCCGCTATACGCTATTTATTACCTTGCTTCGATCCTTGACAGAAGAAACGGGCCAGTATGGCTCAATCTTCCCAATCAGGCGAGCGTCTATGCCATCCTTCTTGGCAACATTTTTCAGCTCTATCAGCGGCGTCCAACCAATCAGCTGAAAGGCAGAGAATTTAATCATAACTAATTGCAGGTTCGCAACAAGCATCAACAGCAAAAATAGCAGACTTCACAACACTCTCATGTATTCCTAGGAAGAATGATGCAACACAAAGAAAGGGAATACAGTCACCTGCGTAATGTTCGATGCAATGCACTCCCCCTGCGAGGAGAGCAACGAGGGTATCCCTTTCCTTCCTTCCTGCACCTCCATGTGTGTGCTGCTTAATTTACAAATTACAGCAACGCCAACAAGAACTGGGAGCTTCAAATCTCAAATCAATGGTAGGAATGGAGGGGCTCCAATGCTGCTGTTTATTTATACATATCCCAGATAGGAGGCCAGGGCAGTATCCAAGAAGCTTCCCTTCAACCAATCTCGAAACTTTGTTGACATGTGATGCTTTTGGAATAAAATTAAAAACGCATGTTGGCATACAAGACAATATGCAGTACGTCATGAAAGGGGAATTGCGTCAGATATAGAAGCCACTAGTTGACCCGAACTTCAGACCGCAGAAATTCAAGTGATATTGCTACTTGGAGTGCAAGCAACTCTTTAGCTGAAGAGAAGGAACATTGTCACTGTCAGTTTGCCACAACCTGCAACAAATAGGGAGTACCCCAGATTTAGAGCAATTGCTGCGAAATTCCTGGAAATGAGGCACGCGCAGTTTGAATCGTGTCATGGATGTGTAGCCAGAATGCCAGATGGCACAGAAAAACACAAATGGTGTGGTTATCAGCAAGAACTTCAAATGGTGTGGGTATCAGCAAGAACTTCAAATGGCGTGCGTATGCCAAATTGCTGGGAATCATCATTGGATGCTCCACCTGATCAGATTGTTACTGACTCAGGTCTTATCTGTGCGTCTGGGCACCGTAACCTGCTCTTCTACTTGTTAGTAATACATGCCTGCAATGTCCAGATCTTTCAAAAGAATAAATGGTGTGTGTATCAGCAAGAACTCTTGATACCTTTGGGCTTTGGGTCTGAATTCCATTCCTCCTTCTGGAGACAACAATAGAAAATCCAATCTTGAACCATCCATTTGCATTTGAGTTCTTATCCCAAGCATGGTTCTTTGAATTGAAGGCATAAACACTCAAAAAAAATGAAGCAATGGAGACTTCGAAGTGCAGTTCACGCCAGATTAATAACCGCGGGATGGTCGGCTCGTGGGAGGCTGGGAGCTACGGGAGCGGAGAGTCAGGGACGACGATATTCGCCGGCGATCGAGGAGTCGTCTCGGCTAGGGATGCGGCGTGACAGTAATAACCGCCGCCGGAGTTGAGGGTGGAAGGAAAGCAACTGGACCGCAGCAGGGGAACATCAGGACCCTGACGAGTGGACCCTCATGGCCTCATGGAAGGGATGATGAGTCAAAGTCACTTTCCCGTTTTACCCCTCCCTGTTCCTCCCTCCTTCATCAACGCCGTCGCCTCCTCCGGCTCGCGAGTCCTGCGGCGATGCCGGTTTCTACCTCGTCCGCCGTGGGCGTTGCCACGTGTCGGCGGTAGCATCGGTTAGAGGCCGTGAAGCCAGACCGCCACCGTCGTCGCTGCCAATGTGTCACGCCCCGTGGCCGTCGGCGATCGCCGGGACGTGAAGAGATCGAACACGGTAGCGTAGGCGGTAACGAGATGAGGAAAGCTTCCTCCGTTCTCGAGTTCGGCGACCACACGGTCCCGCACGATAGAATCTCTGGCCGATCGGCCCACATGTCATACAGCGCAATACAATACTCAAATAACTCTACGCTATCTTCTCTGGGTTACGTATTACGACGATGGCACCATCTTCATGGAGTCGGTGCCGTAGTCCTGACAGCTCCCCCTGCCGAAGGAGCTGCTTGTACCCAAGCAGCTGCGTCATGGAATCGCGCCCGCAGAACATGATGGTCTTCCCATGTAGCAGAAGCTTCAGGCATGCGCGACCACTTGATCAGCACCTATGGCGTGGCCATGTTCCCCTTCTTCACTAGGCGACGATCCAGGACCTTCTCCGGAACAGCTCCCGCTGCATCGATGTCAGTGGTCATCGGCAGCTCAGAGTAGACTGGAGTGTAATCTGCAAGAAATGGATCGTTCCACGATCTTGTAAGGACCGAAATACTTGAATGAGAGCTTTAGGAACGGCCTGCTTGCAATGGATGTATGTGTATATGGCTGCAGCTTCAGCAACACGAGATCTCCCACTTGAAACTCAAGGTTGGAACGCTTCTTATCTGCCATGACTTTCATTCTATTCTGTGCCAACTCCAGATGTTTCTTCAGGGACTGAAGATGCGGCTCCCTATGTTCAATCAGTTCAGCTACTGACTGTGGTGTGTTGGGTTGCAGAACTGGTGCAGCACCCACATTTGCTTCCATGCCATACAGAGCCATGAATGGTGAACAGCCAAGTGATGTGTGATAGGATGAATTGTACCATAATTCAGCTAAGGAAAGCCATGATTTCCATGTTTTGGGAGCATCCTGTATTGCACACCTCAGATACATCTCGAGGCACTGATTAACCCTCTCAGTTTGGACATTTGACTGAGGATGGTAGGCAGTGCTCATGTTAAGTTTCACCCTGTACAATTTGAACAATTCTTTTCAGAAAGCACTCACAAATATTGTATCTCTGTCAAACACAATAGATTGGGGAAGACCATGTAATTTGACAATGTTGTCCATGAATAACTGAGCAATATCAGCTGCTGTATATGGATGCTTGACAGCCACAAAATGAGCAAACTTGGTGAGTCTGTCCACCACAACTAAGATGACATTATAGCCTTGAGATTTTGGTAAGCCCTCAATAAAGTCCATAGAGAGGTCCATCCAAACACCTTGTGCAATTGTTAAAGGTTGTAGCAACCCTGCTGGATGATTATTGGAGTGCTTGGCCTGCTGACAGATTGCACACTATCTGATGTAATCTTCCACAGCTTGCTTCATCCCTTTCCAAGCAAAGTGGGCTTTTAACCTGTGATAAGTTGCTTTGCTTCCTGAATGACCACCTATGGCACTGGAATGAAAGGTGGCAATGAGTTTTGTTTGAAGAGCTGAATTCTGACCTACCCAAATTTGGGAGTGGTATTTGATAATACCATCCTGGACATTGTAACCAGCTGCATTTGGAGTCTGGACTGGCAGTTCAGTCAACAGCTTTTGAGCTCTAGGATCAGTAGCATAAGACTTAATGATCTCCTGCATCCAATCGGGCTTCACCATGGAAACAGCTTGCAGAGCATGAAGATGAACTAGCCTGGACAGTGCATCAGCTGCTACATTTTCTTTGCCCTTCTTATACACAATCTTAAATTGTAGACCCATTAATCTAGTCATCATCTTTCTTTGCATCTCTGAATGTAAGTTCTGCTCTTGTAAATATGACAGGGATCCGTGATCTGTTAGAATGACAAACTCTTGCCGGTGCAAATAATGTCTCCACTTTTCTACGGCCATAATAAGAGCTAGAAATTCTTTCTCACAAATGGATAGAGATCTATGCTTATTCCCTAGGGCTTTGCTGAGAAAAGCAATGGGCTTGCCTTCTTGCATCAGGACTGCCCCTATCCCTTCCTCACATGCATCAGTTTCCACTTGAAAGGGTAGCTGGAAATTTGGTAAAGTGAGAACAGGAGCTGTTGTCATAGCAACCTTCAGATTATCAAAAGTTGCATGTGCTTCAGCTGTCCACTAGAATATTTTATGCCTGAGAATTGCTGTAAGTGGTTTAGCAATCACACCATAGCCCTTCACAAACTTCCTATAATAGCCTATCAGTCCCAAAAAGGCCCTGACCTCTGTAATACTAGTTGGAGTAGGCCAATGCAGCATAGCTGAAATTTTATCTAGGTCAGTTGCCACCCCATGAGAAGAAATGGTATGTCCTAAGTACTCCAACTGACTCTGGGCAAAAGAACACTTGGAGAGATTGAGATACAACTGATGGTCTTGCAAAGTCTGAAGTACCAGTTTTAGATGCTGGGCATGTTCTTCTAGTGTGGTACTATAGATAAGGATATCATTCAGGAATACTAGAACAAATTTCCTTAGAAATGGTTGGAGAATTTGGTTCATGATGCATTGAAAAGTAGTAGGTGCGCTAGTTAGACCAAAGGGCATCACCTTGAATTGATAATGGCCATGATGGGTTTTGAAGGCAGTTTTGTACTCATCTTCAGGCAACATTCTCACTTGAAGGTACCCTGACTTCGTATCCAGCTTGGTGAAGTACTTGGCACCAGCTAACTCATCCAAATCTCCTCAATGAGTGGCATTGGAAATCTGTTCTTAATTGTCAGGTCATTCAACTTTCTGTAATCCACACAAAATCTCCAGGAGACATCTTTTTTCTTGACTAGCAGCACAGGTGAAGCAAAGGGACTATGACTGTGTGTGATTAACCCAGCCTCTAGCAGTTGCTTTACTTGCTATTCTATCTCTGTTTTGTGTTGTGGTGAGTAATGGTATAGCCTAGCATTGACAGTCATTGCCCCTGGGATGAGAGGTATGGCATGGTCATAACATCTAGAAGGTGGCAGTGTCTTTGGATCTTGGAAAATGAGCTTGTGTTCATCCAGTATCTGCTGAATACATGGTGGTGTGGGGGTACCCTGATCCAGCTTAGGCGGTGGCAGAGAATCAACAATGACAAAAGCCCATGTGTCTTTACCTTTAGTGCCCTTGTATAATTGAGTAGCAGATATGGCAGACACTTGCAGTGGTTGATCAACTACACCTTGAATTCTCACTTGCTTGCCATTCAAAGTGAACTCCAAGGTTTTCTGGTTCCAATCACAATTCATTGGGCTGTGTTTCTTGAGCCAATCATAACCCAAAATTGCATCATATGGTGCCATATCCAAAACTAGCATGTCACTGGTCAAGGTCTCACCTTGGATATACCATTGGAGATTCTGGACCATAGTCGATGTTGTTAGCCATTCTCCATTTGCCAACTTGACTCTCCTAGCTGGAATTTGTATTGTAGGTAACTGAGCAATATCTGTGAAATGATGCTTACTAACAAAGCTGTGTGAACTACCAGAGTCCAACAGAATAAACATCACCTTGTTCTTCACCAGTGATCTGAGTTTGATGGAAATTGAGGAATCCACTGTTGTGAGAGCATTGAGAGAGAGCTTACAGAAGTCAGCTGTCAACAAGTCCTCTGCAGCCAACTGATTGAGCGTCTCCTTAGTGATCTCTTCTTTATCC